AATGTTATATAAGTGGAATCATATAGTACATAACCTTCTGTGATTGGCTGTCTTCACTGAGCATAACACCCTTGAGATCCATCCAGGTTGTGTCATGTAGCCCTGGTTAATTCCTTTTTTGTTACCAAGTAGTATTCCATGGTAAAGATGTACCACAGTTTGTTTATCCATTCACCCACTGAAGTCATTTGGGTTGTTTACAAATAAAGCTGCTATGAACATTTGCACACAGGACTATGTGAATACCAGATTCTCCTTTTCAAACAAAGTCTTCTGCTGAACTCTGAGAGGAAGCAGTAAAGGAAGTTGTGCTCTGGTTGAAACAGGGGGAAGGACCCAGAACATACCAACTTGGTCCCTCCTTTGCTCCTGCAAACCCTCATGGTTCCCAGAAACACAGTTTGAAAAACATTGCTCTTGGGAGCCCATCCTGTCAGCTGTGGGTGGAAGGTCTTGGATTATCAGGGCTGCTGGGTGTCGGGACACTGGCCAGTTCAGTCCCCTATCTCTGTGGTGCTCAACTTTGATGCACAAAGGAATCACTGAGAAGTGTTATTAAAAAATCCACAAGCCCAGCCACATCCCAGACCTACCAACTGAGACACTCCGGGTGGGGCGCAGGTGTCAGGAGTTGGTAAAGTCCCCAGGTAACGCTGGTGTACAGCCAAGTTGGAGAGCAATGATCTGCACCATCTTTTTTGTTTGTTTGTTTGGGGGGGAAGTAATTAGGTTTATTTATGTGTTTTTAAAGTAATAATAATTAGCTTTTTAGTGGAGGTACTGGGGATTGAACCCCAGACCTTGTGCATGCTAAGCACACACTCTACCACTGAGTTACACCCTCCCCTGCACCATCTTCTTAACTGATGGGCTCCCTATTTCCACTTGTTAAGCAAGGCCATTCTTTTGTATTTTGTTGCCTTGACTTTATCAGACTCAATTCAGTATCATTTGGGAGTGTATATCCTCAGTTGCAGAAACTAAATTCCATATTTTCTTTGTTATTCTTTTATTTTTAACAGCTTTGTGGTGATATAATTCATATACCACCCAATTCACCCATTTAAAGCATCCCATTCGCTGGATTTTAGTATTTTCATAGAATTGTGCAACCGACACCTCCGAAAGAAACCCTGATCCTTCAGCTATTACCCTCCCATCTCCCCCATCCCCTCCAGCCCTAAGCAACCACTAATCTGCTTTTTGTTATTTGATGTGAAAAATGGAATAAAATAACAAGACCAAAAATAAAGTTTGGGATGGGGAGGGTATAGCTCAGTGGGAGAGTGCCTGCTTAGCATGCATGAGGTCCAGGGGTTCAATCCCCAGTACCTCCATTAAAAAATAAGTACATAAATAAAACCTAGTTACCTCCCCCAAGTACCTCCATTAATAATTAATTAATTAATTAAACTAATTACCTCCTCCTACCCAAAATATAACCACTAAAAAACAAAACAAAACAAAAAGTGTATTTTTAAAAGGTAGGGTAGTGTCCATGGGGTGGTGGGAGCCCAGAATTGGGAGTGACTGGCTCAGCAGAGCAAGGAAGCCTTCCTGGAGGAAGTAGCATTTGTGACTGGCCATTTTTGCTTTCGTATCTTTGTTCCTCCCATGCTGCCAGCACAGAATGCCCTCTCTCCCTCCTCACTCTGTATGTATAATTCTGCCGTCAAGGACTCCCTCATCTGGCTTTCCTTATTGCTCCCTCTGCACCCTTCCACACACATGGGCATGCCCTGCGCTGCCCCATTGGTACCAATACCTTGTGGCTTCCCTCTGCCCTGATGGTACTCCTCCAGCAAGACAGGGCTCAGGAGCTCTTCGGTTTCACCTTTCAAATTCCTTCTGCTGTGCCTTCCTATCTGGGGCCAATGAAAGTTCTTTTCCCAGCAAATGAATATTCTCCATAAGATAACAACTCAGCAACAAAAGGGCAACTCAGTTTTGTTTTTAATGCACAAAGGGCTTGAATGGATATTTCTCCAAAGAAGATACAGAACTGACCAATAAGCACATGAAAAGGCATTCCATGTCGCTAATCCTTAGGGAAATGCAAATCAAAACCACAACAAAAGACCACCTCATACCCATCAGGATAACTATTACCAAAAAACAGAAAACAACCAGTGTCGCCAAGGATGTGGAGAAGTTGAAACCCTTGCGCACTGCTGGTGGGAATGGGAAACGGTGCAGTGGCTGTGGAAAACAGTATGAAGTTTTCTCAGAAAATTAAAATGGAATTAACATTTCATCCAGCAGCTCCACATCTGGAATAGACCCGAAAGAATTGAAAGCAGGAACTCATACAGATATTTGTACTCTCATGTTCTTAGCAGTACTATTCACAGTAGCTGAAAGGTGTGTGCAACCCAAGTATCCACTGATAGATGAATGGATATGTGAAAGGTGGTAGATCCATGTGATGGAATATTATTCAGCCTTAAAAAGGAAAGAGATTCTGACACAGGCTGCAATGTGGATGAATCCTGAGGACATTATGCTGGGTGAAACAAGCCACACACAAAAGGGCAAATACTGTATGATTCCACTCATACGAGGTCTCTAGAGGAGTCAGTTTCATAGATACGGAAGTAGAACAGTGGGTGTCAGGGGCTGGGATGAAAGGGGAATGGAGAGTCAGTGTTTAATGGGGACAGAGTTTCAGTTTTGCAAGGTGAAAAAGCTCTGGAGATGGATGGTGAGGATGGTTGCCCAACAACGTGAATGTACTTAATACCACTGAATTGTGCGCTTAAAAATGGATAAAACCCATTTTATGTATATTTTAGTACACACAAAAAAACTTTTTAAAGTAGAGACCAAAAATGTAGGGATAAGTTTATAGAGATCTTGGCATCATCCCAAGCAGGAGTAACTGCATCAAAGTGTCCCCTTTGCACCTTGTCCTGTCTCTCCAAGTCTGTCTCCTCGTGCGGATAATAAGCATGATCACTTGGCTGTAGTTATCAATGAGAATTTAATGGGTCCTTCCTATAAATGCTAAACCCGGTGTCTGAGACCTGGGAATGCTTGCTACATGTGAGCTGGTGTTAAGTCATTGCCACCTCCCTGAGCTCAGAGGAAAGAGCCCCAACTTGTTCTGCCTTCTCTCTGTGTGACCTCCGACATGTATGCAGACTCTCTGAGCCTTGGTTCTTCCTCTGAAATGGGTGAACTGCGAGGCACTGGGTGGGCAGCTGCGAAGGCAGTTGAATTAGGATGGGCTGAGCAGAGGGCGTGAAGGTGAAGCATGCTCTTGACACCCCGGTGACGGTGGAGGACACTCCATGCCCCTCAGGAGCCGTCGAGCTATCCCGGCGCCACCCCATGGCATCCTGGCTGTGCGCCATGCTGCACTGCTTCGGGAGTTACATCCTGGCTGATCTGCTTCTCGGGGAGCCCCTGATCGACTACTTCAGCAACAACTCCAGCATCCTGCTGGCTTCAGCTGTCTGGTAAGTGTCACTGGTCTGGGTGAGGGGTAGAAGGCAGAGCAGGCGGGCGAGGCAACCTGGCTACCTGGGAGATGGGAGGAGGGAGGTGGAAGGAACTAGGACCCACCAGCACAGCCTCCACAGTGGCCCTAACTCGCCGCTTTCCACTGCCCAGCCGTCCTGAGCCCAGTGAGTGAGAGAGGAGGGTCTGCCTCCCCCTAATGCTTGGCCTTCTCCCTCCAAAGGTACTTGATTTTCTTCTGCCCCCTGGACCTCTTTTACAAGTGCGTCTGCTTCCTGCCGGTGAAACTCATCTTCGTGGCCATGAAGGAGGTAGTGAGAGTCCGCAAGATCGCCGTGGGCATTCATCATGCGCACCACCACTACCACCACGGGTGGTTCGTCATGATCGCCACTGGCTGGGTCAAAGGTAAACAGGGCCATGATGAGAACGATGGAAAATCACCCCAGTTGAGAACCCCTGCTCAGTGGTATTTATCAGGCACCCCAGCTGGCACAGCCATTGCTCTGGACTAAGGAGTCTCAGGATGCCTACAGTAGTCCAGCCTCCTCATTAGCTGATACATTTAGGGCAAAATCACCCCAGATGCAAACCCATAGTGCAGTGGTACATACCAGGCACTCTGGTTAGCACAGCCAACGCTCCTGGAGTGGGTGTCCAAGCCTTTTTAGCCAATATATTTGGGGTAAATGAGAAGATTCTTCTAGAAATTTAACCAGAAGTCTTAATGTGGTTCTCCTTAGTCTCTCTCCAGGAAGCCTGTGCAACAGAGCAAACCCCCTAGGGGTGCAATGTGCCTTCCAGGGGGCAAGCAGCTTGAGAAAGGTTGAAAGTTCAGAACCCTCACAGGAGAGAGGCTAGGGGTGGGGAGCCCCCTGGAAGCCTCTTGCACAGCTCAGGGTCCTGGTTTGGGGGCAAAAGGGCCGACAACCCAAATTTGTCCAAGACATACCTTGTAGGTGGGGTATGACCTTGATTACTTCATGCTGGTTTTGCTCCAAATGTGCCATGTGACCCTTGGCAAGACTGTGTCCTCTCTGAACCTCTGTTGCCCCACCTGCAACTGATCATCATACACCCCAGGCTCAGTATCCCTCTGAAGAAGACTCCAGAAGCAAAGATGCTGCTTCCTTGGGAATTCAGCCAAGGAGAACAGGGAGCTGGGGGTGGCAGACTTGTTCAGATGTATCCTGTCCCATAGGCTCTGGCGTTGCCCTCATGTCCAACTTTGAGCAGCTGCTCCGAGGGGTCTGGAAGCCAGAGACCAACGAGATTCTGCACATGTCCTTGTGAGTACCCATCTTCCCCGCCCTCTGGGCCTGACCCTAGGTTGGAGACTCCTGGTAACTTGGCAGCCTCAGCCCCTGCTTCTCCTTCCAGAAGTTTCCAGAGGCCATGGCTGGGAGACCCCAGAGGAGGAGCATGACACTGCCTAGGGGGCATGGGCAGGCAGAGTTTCAGGATGATAAGATACTTGATTTGGGTTTTGAAGAGTGAGTAGGAGTTTTCTGGCAAAGAAGAAGCCTCTGGACAGAGGCCAGCACCTTTGCCAAGTCAGAGAAGACCTGAAAGGTTCAGGCTAGTTATATTCTCTTCCACTCTACAATAAGGTGGGTTGTAATCCCATCTTCTAGGGGAGTACACTTTTCAGGGGTCCCCAGGACCACCCTCAGGTTCAATGATTTGCTGGAAGGACTCACAGAACTCAGCCAAGCCATTATACTCGGGTTATAGTTTATTACAACGAAAGGATACAGATTAAAATTGGCAAATTGCATGGGGCGGCATTCAGGGGAGACCGGGCGCAAGCTTCCAATCACCCCGTCCCAGTGGCTTTGTGTGGACAGCACCTGTTCTCCTGGCAAGCATGTGTGACTGCGCTGAAGGTTGCCAACCAGTAGGGCTCCCCCGAGCCCTGGTGTTCGAGGGTCTCACTGGGACTTGGTCACACAGATATAGCTGACTGCATGCAGGGCTGACCTCAGTCTCCAGTCTTTCTAGGGGTTCAGCTGATACCACATGGCCCAAGATCCCACCCTAAATCACACTATGATGATCTGATGTGACCCAAAGTCCCCAGGTAAACAAAAGTACTCCTATCAGGCAGGACGTTCCCAGGGCTTAGTGGATACCTTCCAGATGCAGGGCCAAGGCCAGACCTTTCACATGGACATTTTCCTCTTCACACTCCGAAGATGCTGGGATGGGAGCTGGAGCCTGCAGGGGTGGGCAGAGAAGGGGATCTGAGCCAAAGGTGCAAAGGCCTGAGCTGTGTAGCACCTCCCAGTAACCATAGCTGCCCCTTCCAGCCCCACCAAGGCCAGCCTGTACGGAGCCATCCTCTTCACCCTCCAGCAGACCCGCTGGCTCCCAGTGTCCAAAGCCACCCTCATCTTCATCTTCACCATGTTCATGGTGTCCTGTAAGGTAAGCCTTCCTGTCCTGATGTCCCAGGCTGAGGATGGGGAGCCTTGGGGAAAGGACAGCCTTAAGGTCGAGGGGTAGGGTAGGGGAGCTTACCGGCGGGTCTGTGCAGGGGAGGAGGGTGTGAGAAGAGCAGTGTCCAGCAGCTAGGGGTGGGGTGAGCAGAATAAGGTCTTTGGGGCAGAGACCAAGATGGGGGCAGGAGTGTGCGGAGTCTGTTTGGAGTATTGGAGCTTTGTGCCTCGGGCTTGGACAGCTGGCTGGACCAGGAATGGTGCTGGTTTGATCCTCAAGCTTTGAGATAGGGTCATCCCCTATCCAGGAGAGGTCTTCTGGGGCCATACACTCTTCCCTCCCTGTGGAGCTGGGGAGCATCACTGCTGGCTCCCTGGGAGGGGACCACAGGCCATCATATAGGGAAAGGGAGTGAGTGACCCCAGGCCAAGCATGGCTCCTCTCTCAGCCCAGGTGTATGTTGGGGGACTCCTAGGGGCAAGGTGACCAACTTGCCTGGAGCTGTCTGGGGCTTTTTTGGGGGGAGGATTATGTTTATTTATTTATTATTATTTTTTAAGTTTTAATAAGGGTAGTGGAGATTGAGCCTAGGACCTCCTGCATGCTAAGTATACGTTCTACCACTGAGCTATACCCATCCCCCCAAATTTATTATTTTTTTTTAATGGAGGTACTGGGGTTGAACCCAGGATCTTGTCCACGCTGAGCACACACTCTACCACTGAGCTATACCCTTCCCCCTCCATTAGCACCAAAAGTCTTGCATCCTGGAAAACCCAGAATAGTTGGTCACCTTCCTAGGGGTGCATGTAGCCAGAAGGCTGGGTCAGGGCTACTCTGCCCTTGACCTGACCACCCTTCTCTCTACTTCTCCCCGCTTTCCCTCTGCCTCTGTCTCCCTCTGGCTCTCTCACTGTCTCCCTGTCTGTCACCCCAACTCAGGTGTTCCTGACGGCCACTCACTCCCACAGCTCCCCTTTTGATGTTCTGGAAAGCTACATCTGCCCTGTGCTGTTTGGGTCGGACTGGGGTGGCAACCATCACCTTGACAACCATGGTGGATCCCAGGGCGGCAGTGGGCCTGGCTCTCCGCACTCCCTACCCACCAAGTCCAAGGAGGAGCTGAGTGAGGGCTCCAGGAAGAAGAAGACCAAGAAGGCAGATTAGGGGGCAGCCCAGGGGGCTTTCAGGGCACCAAGGAGAGGACCTGGACCCAGGACCTGGGCTCAGCTCTCCCCTCTCCAGGCCTCAACTTTCCCCGTCTACAAAGTGGGGCCATCAGTCCACCCTCCAGGGCTGATGTGAGGGGGTTAAGTGAGATTTGGGGGTGAAGGGCATTTGTAGGAATTCAGGGTCCCTCTCCCTTTTTTCCAGGTACCCATAGCGTTACAGCTTTTGGGGGGGAGTCCACCGAATCCCAGCAGCAGCTCCATCCAGAAACCCTGGCAGTTACATTCTTGGTTCTATTATTTCCTCTCTAAAATTACACCTTGACTCCAAAAGAATTTTAAGCCATGTTGGGGCTCATTCATTTGATGGACATTTACTAAGAATCTGCTGCGAGGTAACTGCTGTGATTTTCACGTCTATTCTTGCCAACTTCTCCTGGGCATCCCTGGGCAAGTTGCCTCCTGCTCTGAGCCTTGTGTTCCCCATCTGTAGAGCGGCCCCCTCCCCCCTCTGTATGCAAGGGCTGATGTGAGGCTGGATGTGAACCAGCTTTATAAGCTCAGAAGCACAGAGCAGTCAGGAGGGGAGGACTTGATGCATGTTCATCATGCTTAAAAATGGCTTTGCATTTTAGATCTTCTGTATTTGTGGATCGGAGAATCCCAAAAGTTACCCTGGCACAAAGGAGGCCTTCAGTAGACATGTCTAGGCCAGACTTGAAAGCGTGGAGGGTGGGAAAGGCTTATTCTGATCCTTGTCTTCAGGTTGCCCCTAAACCAAAGAAATGCAGTGGGCTGGACAGGGGTTCTTAGATCTGGCTCTGTCTAGTGGCTCTGAGCACTCACTGCTGGACCCTGGAAGCGCCAGACCTCCTTCATGCTGGCATCCTTCATCGCTGCTCACTCAGTCATTCAACAAACATGCCTACTCTGTGCCAAACCCTCTGCTGTTGGGTGGGCTGGGAACTTGATTCAGGGAGAGCAAGGGGGAATGAGAGCTGAGAGCCCCTCCTGGCCACCTTCATCTCAGCCTATGTCACCAAGACATCTGAGAGGGGTGGGTGGGTAAGTTGGGCACGGCCCAGTTTCAGGTGGGGTTTGGGCCCAGACAGGGCCTGCTTGGGGTTGCTCTCTGCATATGGGTGCTCAGGACACGCTCAGGGCATCAGCCTGCATATGGGTCGAGATCGGCGTGGGGTTGGCAGGGTCCCAGGGGTTGCCCAGCTAGTGGGAAGTGCCTTGATCTGGTGATGCCCGGGAACTGGGTGGATCCTGAGGTTATAGGGCCCCCAAATTCCTCATCTTGCATGTCCGTCAAGGCTCAGCGCGAAGAGTCAGCAAATAAATTCTTTGTGAAGGAACCCTGATGGCTTGACTGGTTCATTCTTGCTCTTTTGGCCTCGGGACTTAGCAGGAGTCTGTGTCCTTAGAGATACATGGAGTTTCCAGAAGAAAGATGCTCACCACAGCCCTTGATTACCAGCGGGAGATGAAGGTATTGGGCGAGGTCTGTGGGGCTTGGGTAAAGCAGACCTGGGTTCAAGTCTCATTCCGCCACTGACAGATATTGGGTCCTTCCCTTCTCTAAGCCTCGTTTGCTTCTTGGGAAAAAAAGGATGATGATTATCACTACTCTTCAAAGATAGGGGGGTGGATGAATGGGGGTGGTTGGGATTTGCAGCTAAGAGTCTGTGAAAAACCCTGTTAAGAGAGTGAAAGTCAAACCACAGACTAGGGGAAAAAAACCTTTGAAAAATTACACCTCTGATAAAAGGATTGTACCCTGCATATACAAAGAGTTCTCAAAACTCAATAATAAGGAAACAAACAGCCCAATATAAAAATGAGCAAAGGATTTGAATGAACACTTCGCTATGGAAAATATACAGATGGTATAGAAATGAGCACATGAAAGATACTCAACATCCTTGGCCATCAGGGAAATGGGTGGGAAGATACCTCTTTACACCCACTAGGAGGGCTAAGATTAAAGAGACTGACCATACTAAGTGCGGACAAGGATGTGGAGCAACTGGAACTCTCCTACATTGTGGGCAGGAATGTAAAATAGTGCAGCCACTTCAGAAGACAGTTTGGTAGTTTCTTTAAAAGTTAAACAGTGCACTTACCATGTGACCCAGACATTCCACTCAGGTATTTGCCCAAGAAAGTTGAAAATATGTGTCCACACAAAAACAGGTATGTGAATGTTTATAGCAGCTTTGTTTGTAATCCCAACCTGGAAACAACAAAAAAAATGTCCATCATAAGGTGAATGAATAGTGCTCAGCAATAAAAAGGAACAAACACATGAATAAATGAGCCTCAAATGCTATTGTGAGGGGTGAAAAAAAGACATATAAAAAAGAATGCATATGGGATAATTTCATTCATATAAAATTCTAGAAAAGGCAAATCCATCTATAGCAACAGCTGATCACTGGGTGCTTGGGGAGGGAGAGATGAGGGGCGGGTGGGAGGGATGGCAAAGGAGTAGAAGAAAGTTTTGAGTGATAGATGATTTTCTTCACCCTCCTGATTGTGCTGATGGTCTCAGGGGTCTATATACATGTCACAACTTGTCAAGTTGTATACTTTAAATACGTGCAGTTTAGTGTATGTCAACTGTAGTTCAATAAAGCTGTTAAAAAACTTTAAATAAGAACAAACCCCGTAAAAATTGGGGAAAAGATTTGAAGAGACGGTTCACCAAAGAGAATATATGGATGATGAATAATTAACATGAAATACACATTAAAACCACAAGACAATGCCACTGCCTGTCTGTTATGGGCTGAACTACGATTCCCTCAAATTTATATGTTGCAGTCCTAATCCCTCAGAATGTAACGACATTTGGAGCTAGGATCTTTAAAGAAGAGATTAAGCCAAGTGAACACTTTGGGGTGGACTCTAATCCAATATGATTAGTGTTCTTACAAGAAGAGAAGGTTAGGATGCAGACATGCAGAGAGAAAAGTCTATGTGAGGACACAGGGAGAAGATGGCCACCTACAAACAACGGAGAGACCTCAAAAGAAACCAAATGTGCTGTCGACACCTTGATCTCAGACTTCTAGCCACCAGAACTGTAATAAAATAAATTTCTGTTGTTTAATCCACCCAGTCTGCAGTGTGTTGTTACGGCAGCCCTAGCAAACGAACACAATACTGTTTAGAATGGATAAAATACAAATAACTAACAATGCCAGGTGTTGGTAGGGATTTGGAGGAACTGGAATACTCACACACTGCTAGTGGAAAAGAGCTGGGTAGTTTCATATAAAATTAAACATCACTGACCATATAATGCAGCAATCCCATTCTTAAGTGAAACACAAACTCATGTTTATACAAGAAATCGTTATAGCAGCTGTTTTGGGTAATCACCGAAACCTGGAAACGTCCCAAATGTCCATCAGCTGGTGAATGAATGGACATCATATAGTAACCCCATATTACAACGGAATACTACTCAGTGGAGAAAAGGGATGGATTTTTATTTTAAAAATTTTTGAGAGGGAGGCAATTAGGTTTGTTTGTTTGTTTTTAATGGAGGTACTAAGGATTGAACCCAGGCCCTAGTGCATGCTAAGCATGCACTCTACCCCTGAGCTATACTCACCTCCCACAAAGAACAAATTATTGACACACACGGCAATGTGGATGAATCCCAAATGCATTTGCAAACTGAAAGAAGCCAGACTCAGGCTACATCCCATGTGCTCTCTTTATAGGATGTTTTAAGAAAGGCAAAATGATAGAGACATAAAACAGATCAGTGAGTGCCAGGGGCTGGTAGTGGGAGAAGAGATGGTCTTCAATGGGGCCAAGAGAATTTGGGGCCGGTGGGTGAAAGAACTGTTCTAAATCTTGATTGTGGTCAAAACTCACAGACCCATATGCTGAGAATTCTACCTTAATCAAAAAGAAAAGGGAGGGGGCGGGTATAGCTCAGTGGTAGAGTGCATGCTTAACACACTTGAGATCCTGGGTTCAATCCCCAGTACTTCCATTAAATAAACAAATAAACCTAATCACCCGCCCCCCCCCAAAAAACCCCAAACCAACCAACCAACCGAACAAAAAAGAGAAGCCAGAATAGGCTCTGAAGCTTCTCATACGCTGGCTTTTTCACCTGAAAGATGCCTGGTGTTGGGTAACGCCCCTTCCTCCTAGGAGGACCAGACCAGCGGGAGCGTCTGGAGTCGTATTACAAAGCCAGCTCAGTAAGTGCCTGGAGCACTTCTGCTTGGGCTCAACTAGCCCCTCGTGGGTGTTGTCAATAAGCCAGCTCCCAGCCTTCCAGCACGAATGTTCTGGGATCTCATTTTATGAGAGAACAGATTGTACCAAAATAGCCTCCCAGCCTATTCTGGGAACGGGGTGGGCAAGCCATTGGCTGGCTGGGGCATGATTGACGGGGCAGGCTGACCTTGCCCTCCCGTGTAGGTGTGAGCACGCTGAAGGCCAGCTGTCAAGTCCAGCCTAATTTTAGCTGCAGGAGTCCTGCTCAGTAGCTTCTTTGGACTTGAGTTGAGAGAAAGTTTCTTCTTCTTCTTATTGTAAAATACACAACATGGTTCTAGTAGTAGTAGTGGTATGGTAAAATACACAATGAAAAATTTGCCACCTTAACCATTTTTAAGTGCACAGTTCAGTGGAGTTACGTACATTCACACTGTTGTGCAACCATCACAACCATCCATCTCCGGAACTTGTTCATCTTCTCAAACTGAAACTATCCTCATTAAACACTAACTTCCCATTTCCCCTCCCCTAGCCCTGGGCACCCACCCTTCTACTTTCTGTCTCTAAGAATTTGACTGTTTGACGGACTTCACGTAAGTAGGATCATACACTTTCTGTCCTTTTGTGATTGGCTTATTTTACTCAGAATCATGCCCTCAAGGTTCATCTATGTTGTAGCAGGTGTCAGAATTTCCTTCCTTTTTAAAAAATTGAAACAGAGTTGATTTACAATGTTGTGTTAGTTTCTGGTGTACAGTAAAGTGATTCAGTTTTAAATACCCTTTTTCAGATTCTTTTCCATTATAGGTTATTACAAGATATTGAATATAGTTCCCTGTGCTATTTGGTAGGGCCTTGTTATTTACCTATTTTATATATAGTAGTGTGTATCTGTTAATCCCAAACTCCTAATCTATCTCTCCCCCACTCCTTTCCCCTTTGGTAACCACAAGTTTGTTTTCTGTGTCTGTGAATCTATATCTGCTTTGTAAACAAGATTTTAAAATTTTTGTATCATTTTGTATCATTTTTTAAGATTCCACATAGAAGTGATGTCCTGATATTTGTCTTCTCTGTATGACTTACTTCACTTAGTATGATAATCTCCAGGTCCATCCTTGTTGCTGCAAATTATTTCATCCCTTTTCATGGCTGAGTAGTATTCCATTATATCCATATACCACGACTTCTTTATCCTGTCATCTGTCAATGTACATTTAGATTGCTTCCATGTCTTGGCTATCATAAAGAGTACTGTCATAAACATTGGGGTGCACATATCTTTTTGAATTAGAGTTTCCTCTGGATATATGCCCAGGATCATATGGTAACTCTATTTTTAGTTTTTTAAGGAACCTCCATACTGTTCTCCATAGTGGCTTCACCAATTTGCATTCCCACCAACAATATAAGAGGGTTCCCTTCTTTCCAGTATTTATTATTTGTAGACTTTTTGTTTTGTTTTGTTTTGGGGGGGTAATTAGGTTTATCTATTATTTATCTTTAAATTGCTATTTTTTTTTAATGGAAGTACTGGGGAATGAACCCAGGACCTTGTGCATGCTAAGCAAGCACTCTACCACCGAGCTATACCCTCCCCTATTATTTTCAGACTTTTAAAAACTTTTTCATTGTGGTATAGTTCCTGTACAGTAAACTATACATATTTCAAATGTACAATTTGATGAATTTTGATAGATGTATGCACCAATGAAATCACTACCACAATCAAGATAGTTAACATTTTCATCAAATTCCCAATTTAGCTACCATACCCAGAGGTCAGAGCTTTGAAATATGTGTCTAAATATTGACACACACACATTCATAGGGACATACCTCAGGGATATTGCAGGTTCAGTTCCAGACTACCACGATAAATTGATTATCACAATAAAGTGAGTCACATGAGATTTTTGATTTCCTAGTGTATATAAAAGTTATGTTTAAACTATATTGTAGTCTATTAAGTATGCAATAGCATTATGTCTAAAAAATGTACATACCTTAATTTAACAATACCTTTTTGCCAAAAAAGCTAACCATCATCTAAGGCTTCACTGAGCCATGATTCTTTTGCTGGTGGAGGGTCTTGGATCAGTGTTG